ATGTATGTATATATAAAGTATGTGAATAAGCATATGCGTATATGAGTACGTACTTCCTGTGCCTTGTGACTTGCTGACTCCACGGGGTACGTCGTAGAAGCAAAGAGTAGGCAGTCCTTCAACCAGTGGTTGTCTGTCGTCAACAGTAACGGCATTTGAGAGGGCGTTGTCGTAGAACAATTGATTGGACATGGCGCTAATTGAAGGGTGGCATCTGGGGAATATACAGTACAACGTTCGAGATTGTTTGACAAGTAAAGGTACATATAAGAAACTCGTCTTATATGCGGGAGGATGTCTCAATGAGTAAAGAATAGCATCGAGTGCCATCAGTTATATAGTATAAATGATAAACCCATGCAAAGATAAAGAAAGGTTTTTTAGAGCGACTCTTGGTTTATCATGGAAAGCTCCTTATTCCTAGAGAAAATACACAAGCAAATATGATACATTCACATTTATACAGAAAATAATATAGGCACAGAATCTACACAAGCTAATATTCGTATATTCACATATATACAGAAAGAAACATGTATACAGAAAGAAACATGTATACAGAAAGAAACATGTATACAGAAAGAAACTTGTATACAGAATTCACATGCAAAAATTCACATATTCATACGACTACTAAGTTTGCACCACTCATTATACTGCTTACAAATTTGGAATGATATGGGTTGACTCTAGGACGTTAACGGAACAGCTAGTTATTCCCAAAGAATCCCTACAAGCACATATTCCCCACCTATTTACGTATACTACGTTTGCACTTACCTCATTCAAGCACATATTCCCCACCTATTTACGTATACTTCGTTTGCACTTACCTCATACAAGCACATATTCCCCACCTATTTACGTATACTACGTTTGCACTTACTTCATACAAGGACATATTCCCCACCTATCTACGTATCCTACGTTTGTACTTACCTGTACTGCGTATATAATGACACAACATCTTCTGGGTTGTCCCGAGCGAGGCGTTCGAACATGGTAAACTCAAGACCCTGACCCCGAGCTTCGGATGCAATGTCGGTTTGTATCGTGGGTGGCAACTGGCGGTGATCTCCTACCAGCACCTTTGGAGGAGTACAAAATCATTAGAGAAGCTTCTATGGTGTACGGTACATCTAGATATCTTGGAATCGAGGGGGACCGAACATCCGAGTATTCAATGACGTGAGATCCTAAATAGTTGCACAGGCGCGGATCTACAATGTTTCTGATGCTTGTTAATTTGATATAACCATGTATATCTATTGTGTATAACCACGTATATATACCAATACACAGATAACGAGTAGAGATGCGCAAGATGCGAGGTTTTGACCGTACAACGCATAGGGCACTAACAAACACTAACAGTACAACAATCATACACAAGTTCACAACATCTCTAGCTGCATGTGAAGCCGGCATTCGAACACATCGTGGCCTATATGTGTATTCTTACCAGCTTTTCCACGCCAAACGGCACAATCGGAAGCCACGCCTGGGGCTCTGTCATCTGCGAGCTTTCATCGAGCAGTACCACGGGAAAGGAGAACGGCTGCAGACACGCAAACACCGTCGCAGCACAGGTGACGCCAACTACACGGGTCTATTGATGTATAAGCGTTTATTGATGTATAAGCGTTTATTGATGTATAAGGGGGGGACAAGGTAAACGGGGTGTGCTGGGTCACGTAGAGTGGTTTGGTAGTGCAGGGCAGTGCTAGCTGCGTATTTAGACACTTAGGTCCACAGCTGCGTTCAGTTTAATATACGCATGCATCGTAATGGAGACCATCGGATGATTGGTAAACACAACTGTTGCATGTATTGCAGCTGTTGTATAAGGGTAAGCATTCGCAGCTACGTGTTGTCGAGTACAGGCCGACCTTCGGGTGACTTCAGATAGCGCGCACACTCAGGGGAACACTAGAATACAAGCTGTTCGTTTGTGTATGGTGGGTATCAATTACTGCAAAGTGACAAGCATCTTTGAATTATTCACGGGATGTGTATAAACATTTCACCGTGCATGGCTGTGCACACATGAACGAATACAATAACCATATCAAATATGCATCTATGCGTATACCATAAACGCCTTTTAATTTAGGTTGCATCAGTGGTTGTACGTCTTTAAAAGCGAATGTCTACACTAAGAATATACGCATCAATCCACCAAGAGAAGTAGAGACGGCCCATTCGACCGGATTTGCAATCGCAGTCTCTAGCAAGCTAATGCGATTCATCTGTCAGCCCATTTGTCTCATCCTATGATGTCCAACAGAATATGTATTCTTTCTTACCCAAGATCATCCGCAATGTGTTTACATACATTTTTTTGGGGGGATCTATCAAGAGCATTCGAACAGCCAAAAAGTGTGGTGCGCAGATTTGTTGTAGCTTCGAATCATAGGTTCACTACAACTATACATATATATGCATGTCTATCAATATATCGTTCTATACATACATCCAGACTCAACATGTGTGTAAATGTTGAACGACTTACCTCAGACAACCGTTCGGAGTCAGCGCCCGCCTTGAGTACTTTGATACTCTCCTTCACGTTGCGCACATCCTGATCCGAAAGGCCACCGTTCTTCAGCAGATCTTTGAGATCTTTCATGTCTTGAGCTTTTGTTCCAGACGACTGGATTCTGGATATAAGTTGTCGCTTGACTGTCATTCCTAGGGTGTATTTGACTAATTCATGACGACAAAATCTTCCATTTAAGGTATCATTTGCCTATATATATATATATATATATACAACACACACACACACACACA